CAGCACCAGCCTTTCCTGGCATACTCAAGCAATGTACTTCATAATAAGAATTGCTGTAGCACCTCACTTCTCAAAAGTCAACAGCCCGATGCCAGCCTTCACTGACAGAAAGTCATAGCTAGAACAAGTAGACATTGCAAAATTACAGGGACTCATCTCCCCTCTCCTCATCTCTCTTGGAGACAAGAAAGGAGATTTGGGGTTGTGCTTGTCCTGCCCAGCAGCCCAGCTGGATGGGGTGATGGGTGGCCTCCAAACTGAACTACATCCAGGTTGTATTGATGATAGTCATGGCTTGCATTGAGGAGAAAGACAGTCAAAACTTGACGGTGGAGGGTGGTGTGGTGAAGAACGAGAAAAATAAAATTTGGTGGTGGAAAAGGAAAATCAGCCTTCTGTGGAAGAAAACCAGAGAAGGGCACTATTCCCAGAAGATTTCAAGGTCTGCAAACTAAGCAGCTAGGGTTTCAGGCCAAAGAATTTAAATTCATGCTTAGTATTTTTGACAACTCATTTGCTTGTTTGGTGAAAAGTATTGATCTGAAATCTCGGGGAGAAGCGTGTGGTTTGCATATAAGTACTCTGATAAAAAAGTTTTGAGCAATCCTTCAGCAAACCAAGGGAAAGCCCAAGAGCTATCCATACTCCTGTCTGGCACCAGGTGGCACACGTGTGGCTGTTTGTAGCTCCTCACTTGGGCGAACAGAAACACCGACATTCAAAATACAAGGAAGAAATACCGAACTGTATTAGCAGTTCAGTAATGCCAAATTTACAAGGAAGTTAAAGAGTATTTTTATTCCTGTACGTTAACTATAAAACACAGCTGCGAATGTCAGACGTGTCAGAAATCCAAATCCTGATAAAATCTGTATTCTTTACCTAGATAAAGTGTCTGGTGATTATTCAAGGCTAGGAAAAAATTTATAAAAAACGCTACTTGTCTCTACTGCTGCCAGAACAAGCTTCAGCTTAGCATGAAGTGTAGGTTCAAGTTTTTAATCATGAAGATGAAATGTGCTTTGTCTGCCCAAACTCTGGGAATGAGTTGAGTTGGTGCTCAAGTAGTTTGGCACTTCTTAAGGATGGCCAGACCTTGTCTCTCCAATATAAGTTTTCAAACTCAGTGCTGAGAGGCTAGACCAAACCACCTGAAAGAATTAATTTCTTCATGCCAGCAAATGAAGTCCCTGCTCTGCACAGTGAAGAAGGTCTGTGTTACCTGCTGTAAAATCTTGCTGCTTGTTGTGGAGGGTTTGCACTATAAAGTCAGGGTTAAATCTGATGGAAGAAGAAGCGTTGTGGTACCAAAGCCAGGATGTCCGTGTTGTGGTAGTGACGATGCTTGCAGGGCTGCCAAGCAAGAAGTGGATGTGTACCCACCTAGAGAGACTTACCCCATTCAGAGAAAGGGAGGACAGGGGTATGACACGTGGCGGTGTGCAAGGGCACAACGAGTTTGCCACAAGCGCTGTCTGTGCATGAGGGCTGGGCACGCGGTTTGAGGACTGTGCCACTGATGTGCTGACTTTGTGGCTGGTGTCCAAGCGTGTGGCAGGGGACATCCGTTGTTGACAGGACAGTGTGTGTGCCATGTGTGAGTGTTGCCATGTGTGTTAAAGTACATAGGCTGCGCACACACATCTGTGGTGATCTGAGGGTGTGTGCAGGGGTGCACCTCTGCCTGCGTGACTGTGCAGGTGGTGTTCCCGGGGTGCTGTGGGCGCAGGGCGTATCTCTGGGGGTGACTCTGGGGGTGCAGGGGGGGTGTTTCCAGGGCTGAGGGGACACAGGGGCGCATTTGGGTAGGTGTATCTCTGGGTGGAGTGTACCCGTGTGAGTGCCAGGGGTGTTCCCAAGGCTGTGAGGGTGCAGGGTGCTCGCGGGGCCCTGTGCGTGCAGGGGTGTCTCCCGGGGTGCTCCCGGGTCCGCAGA